ATGAGAATCATTGAATCACTGCTGCTGCTGGCGGTGGGTCAGGTGCCTGTTGCTGCCGGTGGCGACGGTACGTCTTCCCGAGGAATGCGTCCATAACACAACCCTGCTTCTTAGATTCTCCAGATCACAGCTTCTGTCTTAAAAAATCCTTTGGTTTATCTCCCTCCAAGTTCACCAAGACACAGCATCTGGGATCACCTTCCACAACACCTTGCCACTTTTTTTAGTCCTTCCATCTCCAGCTCAGAAAATGGCCCCACAAAGACTTTGGATCCAGCAGAGGTTAAATATAATTCCTAGTCAGTGGGCAGTGAAGGAACAGGTGAGCTACTGTTTCCCTGTCAACCCCACACAGCACACATCTAAAACCAGTAATTTGCATACCCCTTCTCACCAGACCATCTCTTGTGAAACATTTGTCCTTGTCATCCAGAATTCCTGAACCTACACAAAAATGTATAAACAATATATGCCTGCACAAACAACCACTTGAAGTTTCCCTAAAACAAACAAATCAAAGAGAAACATCAAAGTAAACCTTGGTTTGGGGTGAGGGCATTCCCACTTTATTATTCTCTTCTGGGTTAAACTAAAGTTCTCATGAAAAACATCAAAGTAATCTATGGGTCAAACTCTTAAGTCCAATAAAAAGGTTAGGTCGGTAGCACTACAACAGAATTCTTTTTGTATTGTTGAAGAATCGATGTCAAATGGAAGCCGGAGTAAACAGTTGAAAGCAAAATTATTACATGGAATTGTATAACAAACTAAAATTTGAATGTGTACAGACAAAGACTAGTGCAATTTTATCCTTGAAATTGGTTTCTGTTCATAATCTTCAATATCTGGAATATATATTTTTTAAAGAGTGTCTCCATTATTGGAAAATGATGCCCTTATATCTGTTAAGCAAGGAATTTCAGATTATATAATTGTTTTATGACCTCTTCTGGTGTTCACACTGTAAACTAGAAAATTTATTGTCAAACAGAATACAAGGATGGCAATCCGAAAAACCTTTTTTCCAATAAACTAAAAATTATAAGCAGAATTACAGAAGTTAACTGTAACATAATAAAAAATACCTTTGGACGTGGTTCATTTTCTCCAGTCATAATGTCTACCAGAGGGTAGCCTTCTCTCCCATATAATCTGTAACATCTTTTCTTACATGGTATTGAAACCTAGAACAAGAAAATAATGAAACCCTGGGCAAGAAACAGAGAATGCAACTGATAATAACATCATTATCAAACCTTTGAAACATCTTCAGATAGTTTAATGCGAGGCAGATTATTAATCTCAACCAGCTTGAAGACACAACCTAGAGCAGCTTGAGCATAACATGTTACCAGGTAGGTACCAATTCCAAATGAATCAACTTCATGTCCCTGTGAAGTGAAAATGACATCCAACTTAATACGTTGAATAAAACCCCGAAAAGGTCCTTCATTATAATATCATGTCAGACACAAAAGTCAGCATTTCATTATCTGGATAATAAGAGATGAAAAAAAACCTGTATAAGTAAAGAATGGCTTTGATGTCTTTTCTTTTCTTTTTTTTTTCTCTTGACACAAGAATGCTCCAGAAGAGTCTTCACCAAGGTTCAGCACTTGGCCCTTATTTATTTGCACTGATTGTAGATGAATTGACTAAACAGATTCAGGATGAGGTTCCATATGCTGCTTGCTGATGACATTGTTTTAATTGATGAAACTAATGAAGGATAAAATGCAAAATTAAGTTTATGGACAAACACCCCAGAAGCAAACGGTTTAAAAATAAGTGGGACTAAAATAGAATATGTGATATGTAATTTTAATAATAATAGGAGTGCAAATGAGGATACACTTAGGATTGGAGATCAAGAGATAACGCAACATGACCTTTTCTGGTACCTTGGTTTGATAATTCAAAACAAGGGAGAGAATGAGGAGGATGATGCCCATAGAAATAGAGTGGGATGGGAAAAATGGAGGGTGCATCTGGAGTCTTATGTGATAAATGAATAACACTTAGATTGAAAGGAAATTTTTATAAAACAGTTGCAAGGCCAGCTACGTTTTATAGAGCAGAATGTTGGGGTTGGTCAGTCAAGAAACAACATGTCCGAAAAAAATGAGTGGCAAAAATGTGTATTCTGGGATGGATGAGTTCAAAAACTAGAAAGGATAGGGTCAGAAATGAAGTCATTTGAAAGAACCTAGGAGTAGCTCCAATAGGTGATAAAATGAGAGAAAGTAGACTAAGATGGTTCCGTATGTGCATAGAAGATCACCAATGGCACCTGTAAGAAGATTTGATTTGTTGCAAGTTGAAGGGACTAGAAGGGCTAGGGGTAGAAAAAATGACTTGGGTTGAAGTAGTTAGAAATGATTTTAGTGCCCATAATTTAACAATAGATATGACATTAAACAGAACAGAATGGCAAAACAGGATTCATGTTGCTGACCCCATGTAGTTGGGGTTGGCTACATGAGTCCTATTCCATCATTCTGTTCTTTTTAGTGCCATATCCATTGTTAAATTATGGGTGCTTAAATCATTTCTTATTACTTCGGCCAAAGTCCTTTTCAGTCTGCTCCTAGCTCTCCTAGCCTCTTCAACTTGTAAAGATCAGTTTTTTATAACAGGTGCTGTAGGTGGTCTTCTTTGCAAATCAGCATTTGACCAAACCATCTCAATCTACTTCCCTCATTTTATCACCTATTGGAACTACTCCTGGGTTCCTTCACTTTTTCTTTTGACAAACGAAAGGAATATATATTATATACATTAGGCTTCTTGAAGTGACCTCACTTCCACATGGAGGAAAAATGTGGCAATCCAGATTATCCATCTGGAAATTTACCACTAATTTCTCAATCTGAAAAGAAAGAAGAAAGAGAAAACCATCTCATATTCCTATCTAAAAATATGTGAAATTATTGGTTGAGGAGATTGACTAAAATGCCATATGTCTAATACTTATTCCATGAAATATACAAGTATAAACACCTGATGGGTTAAACCTGATAAAACCTGATTCTGTATTGAACCCACCATAGTTTGGCATCTTGGAAACCAAAGTCAACATTATTCCAGTTAGGGGCAGGGCAGGGCAGGTCTCTCATTTAACCCATCCCATTTCCATCCTAAACAGTGTTACCAACTTTTCATGAAATAAACTTAAGGAATACACATGGTTCAAAGTATCAATATGTACAATATGCAAAAATTGTGCATCATGTGTTTCAAATAGACAATACACTTAGATGAAAAATAATAAGGTTTCAGGAATTGAGCCAGGACATCTCTAGGAAGGATATTAACCTTTAAAAACGGCCAGGTCAAATGTCCTAATTCCATGTATTTAGTGTTTCAATGACCCCAAGATACAATACAATATGCCTGATATTGTATCGATACTTTGAACCTTAGGTCTACAAGCAAGACCACTAATACATGTAAAGCCACCATATTGGAATTTTCTTTTGGGAATTAATACCAGCAAGATAAAAGATTCCAACTACTGACTTTTGCATAGTGGGCATACTTATTGCTGTGGACTTCACTAGTTCTATCAATTTGCAAAAATAAATATATTTCAATAATGTGATTTGTGCTGGACTGTAGCTTTGGAAATACATCATAGAGTGCATTCCATTATTCCATCAACACTACATACAGATACAAGGAAGAGCAAGATATAGAATAAAGAGAAAGAGGAGAAAATGAAAAATTCCTTTTTCTTTTCTTTTTTCTTTCTCATTTATAATCAAGATGTTAGCAAGAAAGACGACAGTGTCTCAGTGGAGGATATATTGATATAGAAGAAGAATTTTAGCATTTTAATTAATCAAAATTAGGGCCAATTAAGGGGAAAATGTAGAGTAACAAAAATGATGGAAAATATTTTTTGGGGATTGATGGATCATTAGATCTCTTAATCTGTTATGAGAATTATGACCACAAGGTGTGAAACACTTTTTTAAGTGGATTTGAACTTCAAGAATTTACCTTGATTAGTAGTGTCTTATGTAGTGTTCTAGGCTTTGAATAATCGTTGTGTAAAAACTATGATTCGAGTTCCCACTCCACATAGAGAAGATCAAATGATGTTATATAGGCTACTTTTGATTACACTCCAAGTTTTATTTGTATTGGTGCAAATGCATGAGAATGCAAATCTTGATACACTTTTGCTTCAGGTTATACTTTTCTTCACAAGGGGAGTGCAAATAGGTTCGATATTGCAAATGCATGGGAGTGCAAGTGATCCCCACTTTATATGAAAGAAAATAAGGGTGGGAGAAAGGTGGTGCAAAATTTTCCATCAGGTTTTGGGATGCAAAATTTGCATTGCATATGAGTGCAAATGAGATGAAACATGCAAATTTTGTTTCAGATAGGGTGCAAATCATAGTATCAAACAAAAATGTACAAAACTGAACTGGGTGCAAAATTTGCACCTGCTTTGGATTTGCACTACAAAAAAACCATGGGAAGCATAGAAGCCAGGGCGATGAGGAAGTGACTAGTCATTTTGGCTTCTCTAGGTAAAAATTGACTAGTCAGCCAAAAAAAATAATTTACTAGTTTAAAAATAAATGGTGCAATTACAAAGGTCTGCAAATAAAGACTATAAATATTCAAGAAAATATATGATACAGAATACGAAACATCACTACCACCAATATAAACATTATTTGGAATGCAGAAATACTAAAAGCTTACAGTGGCTGGTAAGCAGACTAGACAGTATGAGGACCCAAGAACCTAGTCAGTTCATTAGTTGGAAGGGGTCCAAATTGTGTTGTTAGTAAGGGTGAGCATTGTTTGGTTAAAACCGAAAAGCCAGACAGAAAATTTTGGTTTTGGTTATTTTGGTTCAGCAATTTGATTTTATAAAATTTTGGTTCCGGATTCAATTTTCAGGGTTAGAAATTTAGTTAACTGAAAAAAATTAATTAACCAAAATTTAATAATATAATATATATTATAATATGTATAACATAATATATTATTTCACCAATATAAAAATGTATATAATTTTAATATATATATATACATTAATATATACATATATAATATATAATATGTATTTGTATAATTTTAATAAAATTCAGTTTTAACCGAAATAACCAAATACCGAACCAAAAATTTTGGCTTTGATTTTTTCAGTTTTTCAGTAATTTGGTTTATTAAGTTCAGTTTTTAACTGAATAAACCAGATGCTGACCCCTACTTGTTAGTGAGATAGACAACACACAACCAGAATGAATTGATTTTTTGATGATGTTTACTTTCTACACCTATAGTGCACTACCTGGACTATAGGCATTATGTTATTATCTCACTCTATATATATAGGCCAACAAAAAAAGTAAACAAAGAAAAAGAAAAATGATTGGCAAGGAACTACAACCAAAATCAACCAAAGACCAATAAATATAAACCTGCCACTATATACAAGACCAAAGGTCCAAACATAAGAAAATATGCTCCACAGCACAGACCTAGAGGAGCAGGGAGAGAGAGAGAGAGAAGTAATTAGAAATTCATTCCTTGACACTACAGGCCCAAAGCAAGAAGCACATACCCATAGAAACAAACTACATCAGTTCCCGTAGCAAAATTATAAGTATGTAAATAAAATACCCGACCCCACCCATCTCAACTACCTGCCTGCCAACCAACTCATTGTAAACTCTTTTCTAGGTGAAAGTATACTTGATGAACTATGACTTTACAGAAGATAGTCCTAAATAAAATGGGTGGTGGGGCAGGATTGATTTGGATAGTTGATCTCAAATGGAGGGAATGAAACTTGGTTGCATTAAGGAAATAAAATAGATCCTCCTTTTTTCAAGAATTGCAATACAACTTTCAATGGTCTATTAAGGTTGTGTTTGGTATCATTGCTATTTCTATCTGAAACGTTTTGTGTTGATCAATATAAATTGGCATACGATTATTATTTGAGGCTATTTATGGTTGAAATAGGGATACCATAAAAATGCATGTGTAAGAGGGTGTTTCTAGAAACATCAAATTGGTGTTTCTTGCTCTCGGGGGGAGTGATAATTCTAGCTGAAATAACTCACATGTGATGTGACAACAACACATATCTCTCGCCAATTTGTATTGATCAACCCAAAACTTTTCAGGTAGAAACAGCAATGGTACCAAACACAACCTAAATTTTAGTTTGGATTTATCACCTGTTTGTTTAATGCATCCAAAGTTTCCTCATTGAGGTCGTTGCTAGCAGTAATGGTCATATTTCCAAATCCAGGTACTTCAAATTCTTTTTCAATTGCACAGAAGAATTTCCGAGCCTCAATAGACAAGTATGCGATGTCACCAGAGTCCAACCTAATGCCAATTGCTTTATACCTGCATAATTTTTTTGTACTCACAATTTGAAAAATTTAAAAGCAATCACATGGATGCTCCCAATAATGATGAAATTATACAATGTACACAGAAGAAAAGGGCAAAGAGAAAGGAAACAAATAAGAAATAAAAGAAATCTGGAAAAAATGATGCTTTCAGAAAAAAAGAAAAAGAAGGAAAATCTGGTCAGATGAAAAACCAGAAATATTAAGCATAAGACTCCAGGCAACAGCAAAAAACAGCAGCATGCTGATACAATGCCTGATGCCTCACATGAAGAGCATGGTATTAGATAATATTTTTAGAAGAGATGCAAAGATAACTGCCAATTAATATTATTTCTGGGACATGAGAGTGAAAGGAACTATGCATCTGTTAACTATTTAGAACACTTGAACAACAGTTGACATGACATGGCACTCCAGAATTGTACAAACAAAGCAGGAAAATGATTATGTCATCTTTGAACATGAATTTTTATGACTACATAACTAGTATTAGGTGACAAATTTTGCATTCAAGCCACCTGAAGCCAAAGAGTATTGAATTGAAAACATGGTCATGTCTTGGATCTTTGTATCCAATACCATCTTCATTGGATGACAAATTGAAAAGACCCAAGATATGACCATGTTTTCAATTCTATACTCTTTGGTTTCCAGTCTCAAAACATGGCCATATATTGGATCTTTTAGACAGATGTTTTATAGAATTTTCCTTTTATCCGAATTGGTATTCACCTACTACATAAGACTCTAGATGCACCCTCCACTTTGCCTATCCTGATTGTTTGCCGAACTGAACCTGTTGAGAGAGCTGAGAAGAAGAAGAAGAGGAAGAAGAAGAGAGGAGAGTCTGATGTGTTCGAATGGGCACTGTTCACTAATATAAGAGCAATACATAATTTACATGAAAGGACCAGGATGCCCCTGATTAGTGATGGGACACCCAGTCTAATAAAACACAAGATACAATTAGGCCCAGTTACTAAGGCCCATTAACTAGAGACTCTAATACCCAGCCCAGACAAGAGAATAACAACATATCAGCCGAACCAACACTGATCTAATTCTATGAAAGACATCCTCCTCAATCTCTCCTTTGTTATTGAACCAAGATAATGGAAGAGGTCTCATTGGGTCATCTCTTGGTCTCCAATCCTAAGAAATGTTTTAAAATGTGGAGGCATGACACAAGGCGTTCCACTACCTGGAGGCATGATTTCAGAACATAAGAGGCATAAGCCTCCCGAACACAAGGAAGTGTAAGCCTCCTTAAGAGGAGGGGGAGGAGGAAGAAGAAGAGTAAGGGGGATCTTATTTTTCTTTATTTTTAATAAAATCTTTTATATTAAGAGGAATTAAGATTTTTAATAAAAATCATTTTTCTTTATTTCCCCTTCTCTTTCTTTCCCTTTTCTTTCTTTTCTCTTTTCTCTTTTTTCTTCTCTTCTTTCTTTCTTTTTCTTTCCCTTCCCTTTCTTTTTCTTTCATTTCCTTTCATTTCTTTTTTTCTTTCTTATTTTCTGTCTTTTTGTATGAGGTGTGCATGAAGTGCACGAGGTGTACACCTCTAGAACGCTTCATGAAAAAGGTGTGAAAGTTGAAGTGCTGTAGCTGAAGCAGTAGAAGAGAGGAGAAGACCAAGAGATGCTGAGAATGTCGAACTGAACTAACCCAGTCGACAATACTATTATTTATATTAAAGTACAGTACAATGTTACATGAAATGACTGGGATGCCCCTGATTAGTGATGGGACACCCAGACAACTTAAAACACTAAACAGACTTAGGCCCATTAACACATGCCCAGTACATAACAACTTAAACTCAAATATAGGCTAATAAGAACTCTTATCAGCCGAACCATCCATACATACAAAACCTTTAACCTAACAAGGTGTATGAGCCGTATACCTCTTGCACCTGAGCTGTATGCCTCCAAGTATCAATGTCTCTAGCATACACCTCAGGGCATTTTGGGGGCACCTCGCCTAGAGGCACGCCTCTAGGCGTACGCTTCCCTCACCTTTTAAAACACTGATCCTTATTGTACCCTAGTTTGCATTCCTATTATTTTTAAATTTACATTGCATATATTTTGTTTCACTCCTTAAATCAGTATTGAAAATCGTGGCCGTATCATAAATCATAATATTATTTCTATAATTTACAAACTTGTTAGAAAATTAAATATAGATATATTAAAAGGATATATATATATATAGGAAACTGATTTTACTCTATTTTTAATCTATATCTACTATATATATATGTACCAAACACACTAAAATTTACCACTTCAACAATAGAAACCTAAGATGACATACTCGAGTTTGACTTAAAAGTCAAATTATCCACATTTAATGGCTCTTTAACCTACATATGATGGAAAATAAACTCAATGTTTGGTTTTAAATAGCAAATAAATCATTTTCTAGTAAGGGCTTCAAAACAAATTTCCCTTGACAAAACTAAATATAAACAAAAAGATGACAAAGTAAAGAACTAATTCTTAATTGAATTTATTTGAATCACATTGAATAGTAGGAATCATATAAATTGTAAGATTTATGAAGGAAATCATAGAATTCAAACAAAAAACATAAGATTTTTGTAGAAAAAGATTCAAACATAAGATTCGATTTCAAACCCTTGGGATTCATGAAACCGTATTGTAAATCATAAGATTTTAACAACATTGCTCCTTATTTTAATACCTCTTGTTCTAATGTAGTTGTTCATAAACCTAATTTTACAGTTAATCCTTCGTTAGCATCATTAATTAATACTATGCCATCAATAAACATCAAGCACCATGCGACCTTCTGTTGTATATGTTCTGTTTTTGTTTTGGGATAAGCACCCTCTTGTATATGTTTAATCAATTCATCTATGACTAGTGCAAATAAAAAAGGACTAAGTGTTGAACCTTGGTGATGGTGAAGACCCATTGTAATTGAAATTCCTTGTTCATAGGGGTGCAAGTCGGGTAGGCTGAGCTGGGTTTAAATTCAACCCAGGCCCAACCCTAAGAATTAGGCCAAGGCCCAAGCCCAAGGTCAAGCCTGAACTGTCCAACCTAGGTCCAGCCCAAACTGGAATTTGATGCACTCAGGTTGGGCTTAGGCCTGGTCCTTGGATTGGCAATCAGCCCACACTAAAATTTGATATAAACGCATATGTATACTTGCATGCAAATATGTATGGTTTGCCAAAAAAACCATGCATATATGCATGCAAAAGTGTCTATATATGAAAATATTTATGTACATAGTTGGGTCAGGCTCAAGTTAAGATAAGGTCAGGCCGGGTTCAGGCTACCTAAGGGCTAGGCTCAGGCCTAGCTTGAAAAATAAAAAAGCCCAAACTTTTGGGCCCAAGCCCAATCCAAGTTGCACCACTACTTGTTCAGAACTTGGTCCTTGTTCAAATGGATTTCCTTGTTCACTAATTCTTTTGATGACAATTTGACTAGGAGTGGGAGAAGGGAATTGTTTATTTCTTCTATTCTATTATAGTTCTTTTGGGCTTCACGATGTTCATTATTTGTTTGTACACCTTTTTACTTTCACCTACTTTTCTTGTATAATACGTGGAGATCCTTTTCTGTATATTTCCTCTTTTGACCACCACCATAATCTTTTATTGATTAAAAAACTAAGGAGTGTTCATTTTACAAGGCAACATGAGCTTAATTGAAACATTGTTATTCAAGGAATGATAAAAACTAAAGTATATCATCAAACTCAAGTTCAGGAGAAATAGTTATCTCGAAAAAGAATTTCTATACATACCCCAAATCAGCAAGTGCTAAAGCAACTGCACAGAAATTAGGAACTCCACTTCTCATAACCTGATAATAAGCATTCCAACAAAAAAAAAAAACGTCATCAGGCACAACAAAAGAGATGTATCTAAATCAATCAAGAAAAGTATAATTTGTAAGCATTGAAAACTAATACCATTAAAAATAGCAAGTAATAAGAGATGTTTAACGAAACTCTATAGTGTTTGAAATGACAACAAGCAGCACACTAGTTGACATATCCCAGCATCTTAGTTGTAACAGTTGGCCACATGATCACAATATTCAACTGTGTGGATATTGGGGGTGCTACATCAAATAAGGATCAAGACTGATTCCTAGGGAGATAATGAAGATGGCATGAAGTGCTGCACCTTGCAACATCTCTAATTATTATCATCAATATTAGTTGGTGAAATGACATGTCCAAGAAATCATCCAAATGGTCTATACCATTTCTATGAAAGATTCAGGGATTTCAGACTAATCAGCAGTGCTACAAGTTTTGGTTAGGCCCCGTCTCATTCTTCCCCGAAAGGAGAAAGAACAAAAAAGAGAAACAGATAGAAGAATCAAACAGATGCCAAAATCATCACCATCCATGCCTTATCCCAACTATATGGGGTCAGCTACATGAATCCTGCTTCACCAATCCATTCTATTTAAAAACATATCCATTGTTAAATTATTAGTGCTTAAATAATTTCTTACTACTTCTACCCATGTCCTTTTTGGTCTACCCCTAGCTCTTCTAGCCCCTTCCACTTGTAACAAGTCACTTCTTCTAACTGGAGCTGTTGGCGGTCTTCTATGCAAGTGACCAAACCATCTTAGCCTACTCTCTCATTTTTATCACTTATTTGAGCTACTCTTAGGTTTCTACTGAGGGATCCTATCCTTTCTAGTTTTTCCACTCATCCATCTTAGCATTCACATTCCTGCCACACTCATTTTCTGAACATGTTGTTTCTTGACTGCCCAACACTCTGCTCCATACAACATTGCTGGCCTTACAACTATAATGTAGAATTTTCCTTTTAATCTAAGTGGTATTCTCCTATCACACAAAAGTCCAGATGCACCCTCCATTTTGCCCAATCTGCTCTAATTGTTCGGGTGACATCCTCAATCTCTCCTTTGTTACGAATTATTGAAAAACAGATGCCAAAATCCACAATAAAAAGATTAAATGAAGGATTGAAGAGAGAAACAAAGAAGGTTGATGTCATAAGTGGAAGAGTAACAAAGATTGATTTTAGTAAAATAAAGATGAAAATAACAGAAATATAATACTGTAGAGAACATTGATGTGGGCCCCACAGCTGTGGTACCACTCTGTCCGTAGGGTAGAATGTATCTAGT